CCGCCATCACCGGCTGCCCCCGGCCCAGCTCCGTGCCCACCTACCTTTTCACTGTGCTTGAACTGCTTCCAGAACCTGTCAAACATCTCCGGCTTTGTCTTCTCTGGGTAGCAGGTGACGGTTTTAATGTAAACTTTGAGCATCCGCTCCAGGAGATGATTCACTTCGGCGTAGTCGTAGTCGTCATACCTGCGGGGAGCACCGGGACGCTCAGCGCCCACCCGGCCCCCGCGCTCGCCTTGCTCGTGGTCCGCGGAGGGGACAGCGGCCACCAGGCCCCAGGTCCTGCCTCTGCGGAGCCCGGCACGGCCGGCAACTTCGGCTACCTGATGCCGAACATGCAGTGGATGTAGTTCCAGATGCCCCGCTTGAAGACCGAGGGCTCGCAGCCCTGCCGCTTGGCCATGGCGCTGCTCTGCAGGCCGCCCACCCTGCGGAACTTCTCGTCCAGGAGGTGCCCGATGTCGGAGTAGAGCCGGTTCACCAGCGAGAAGCCGTGGTCCTCCCACGAGTAGTCCTGTGGAGCACCGCGAGGCTGTCACGGCTGCAAGGAGCAGCCCGGCGCCCGCGGCGAGGAGGAGCTGCCAGCGGGGACCGCAGCAGAGCTCAGCTCTGCGCTGGGGCAGCTCCGACGCAGAGCACCGAGTCCCCAGTCTGGCCGCTTTGGGATAACTCGGGCCTCTGCCCTGCCCCACGCCTGGCCTGGAGGGTGGAGGCTGTGAAGACAAGTCCTCAAGGCCAGGTTGATGCTCCCCTATCCCTGCTGCACGTTGGACAGATCCCCTTTCCGAGCGTGCTCCCGTGCGCCCGGCCGCTTCCCGCCAGGAGAAGAGCGGAGGCGGCAGCCTGCGGGGTTATGTCCCCAGCAGAGCAGGAAGCTCACCTGGACTCGGAATACCTGCGCCTGGTCCTCGTCGCGCCGGGCGAAGTCCTGGTACCCGAAGTCGGGGTCCTGCAGGTAGCAGGCGAGGTTGGTGGCGCGGGTGGCTTCCCCGTCGAGGTCTGCGAGCGAGGAGAGGATGCGCTGGGGTGGAGCTGGAAGCGTCCACTGCAGATGTCCCTCCTGCACCCGCAGGGTCTCCTCGGAACAGCTGGGTGTTTTGGGGAACCCTCCCACCCTGGCAGCCCCTCACCTTCCTCTCGCTCCTGCTGCTGCGGCCTCGTCTCCTCCCTGCCCTCGGTCT